TTCTTGTCGGCTGGTTCGCTGCAGTGGGTTTCTACACGGCGATAAAGCGTTCGCACGCAGCTACGTTTGTGCGAGACGGAAAGGTTGCTGAGGTAACTCAGGATGCGAGAGGTATTTGTCGCCTTCCTGTAAACTGTTGTGTTGAGTTCCCCACCGCCTTTTCTGCACAACAGCACGTCGAGGAACGGCAGCTGGCAGTTTTTTTCTTCCTCCAGCGTGAACTGGATGTCGGGGAAAATCAAGTTGAGAGTCTCTGTGAAATCCCCAATCTTGTCTCGACGAATGATGACAAACGTGTCATCAACAAAACGAACCCACAATCGTGGTCGATAGTGTTCGAAAGCCAGTGCCTCCAGTCCTTGTAGTACTGCTTTGGCAATCAGGCCAGATAATAACTATACATAACTGCATAACTATACATATGCACGACAACTGAAAGTGATGTTTTTTAATCCTCCCTCATTTCTTATCTGGTTTCACCAAGGCCAGTCTACATCCTTTCGCATTTGAGCCAGGGCGACATTTGTTGGCACTTGTCTGACAAGAATCATGGCAGTTTGTCATTTGGTCGTTTTTCCATACAAATCGCACATTGCATAAATCAGGCAAACCCACGTCTCCGGCTGTCTTCATTGGCAACTTGTTATGAAGGCAGGACACATTTGTTTTCTTTTGGGCGGTCCCCGCATCACAGAAATATTTGCTGGGTGCATTAACCCTCTGTTCAACCGAGAATTTGTGCCGCCGGCAAAAGAGAGCGGAGAGGCAAGGAAAGGAATTCGCATGTGAATAATGTGAAGTGAAACTATGTTGGCATGACACATCTAGGTCATTGGTTATGGCAACAAGATGCTTTTCGTAAGCAATAAAGAGTAAGCTAATTTTAAGTCTTCATTCATGTTACTGTTATCATTAACAGACATTCAGAGACAAGGGTGCTGAACCGGCTAGGTGGGTTCACTTTTACTGTATACTACCTTGCAAACAGCGCCGCCTCAAGGGCTCCCCGGTAGGCTATACGTTTGCATTATAAAATTCTCCGCCTTCCAAAAAAACGTTCACAATTTTACGGGCAGCAAAAAATGAACTATCGGTCTTATTGACAGTTCGGTTAAAAGAAGAAGCAAAACATTTAACAGCGGTTACCAATCCCCTATAAATAAGTTGGCCGGGAGCCTTTTATGCAAAAACTGTTACAAGATGGTTGCCATAGAGAATGCACGTCGAGTCTGAGTGGTAAGTTTCCGCGAGGTCATTTGCAGCCGGACGGTCTTCTACTAGGAAGTCAGTTAGAAGTAAATACTTTATTCCCTGATCACATAAGCTCCAAAGTTTTCTTTCTGCACCCTCTTGGGCAATCGCTTTATGAGATAGTTGGGCCTATTATGCATGATAGTTTGAAGACGCAAATTTAAGCCTTTTTAAAACAAACCATAACGGTTAATGCGTGATAGCAAATAAATATCTCGGAACACCACTCAATTACGTGGTAAGACTAATCTTACACGGAAGAAAACGTTAACTGAACACCCATTCATTAGTATAGTAGAAAATGCTTGGTTTTGGAGCATCTAGAAACACAGCAGTTGATTTGTTTATATCTTCTTCTTCTTATTCCAGAACCGCTGTCGTTTTTCTCCCTCCTGAATCTTCGACGCTCCTCAACCGGCAGCCAAATTGGGCCATCACCGGCAGGAAAGATGGTGAAGGTTCCCGCACCCGAAGGTCTTCAGCTTCCCGATGATCCAGCCAAGGCGGATAAACTGTTGGAGGAAAAAGGCCTTGAGACGGGCAAGCCTAAACTAGGTTCCATTGTAACCATCAAAGTGGCCATTACTGAGAGCACTGAATTTAGGGTAAGTTTAGTGTGCGTGCGATAAATGTTAGGTTCAATTCCTCTGTGCGTGAAACACTGTCAAAAGTTTAAATTTTAAAAGGAACAAACTCCCTGTGTTTTGCTGGCAGTATATATCAGCAGCCTTCTCTTAAATTGCCATTAGCTTCGGTTGGGTCGACATTTTTGTGTGCATACCGGCCAATTTCATGCGCTGCTAGTGCTATATCGGCACTCACGGGCGTGTAGACCCAGAAAATATAAACGGTTGACATAAAACACAAATAGGGGGTGTCCAGTGCAGCTGAAATGCAGATATTTTTGGAGCAAGATTATTTTTTGACATGGCAAACCGACTGTTCTTTGAGAAGTATCCATTCTGCAAACACCAATTGTGCACTTGGAATAGTCCCATGCATACGTAGAGATTGAATACCAACAATGTCAAGAACAGCCATACTCAGGCATATTCATTTCTGGGTTTGTGGGACTTGGAATTCGAACGTGGCTTCTCGTGTCATAGTACGGTATGTAGGTAGCCAAGCGTTTCATCATGTATATTAGATACCCA